ATTTTACTTCCTTCCTGAGGAACAGTTTTTGCCTGCCTAAGGCACAAAAGAAGAACAGGGGTAATTACCTGTGCTAAGCTATTTAGAAGATTTTTTATTATTATTTTTCAGTATTTGAGGAATACTGTAGAAGAGGATTAGGATCCTGTGGGGGAAAACTGAAAAATCTCAGCAGAAAAATTATCACTGAAAAAAAGGCAGTTAGTGATAAAACTGCCAACCCAAAAAAGGTTTGAAAAGACAGTTATTCACGATCATTAATCATGATGAAAACCACTTGGTTTATAAAACATTTGTTTTGCTCAGATTGAACTTATCATCAACTATACTGCTTAACAATGCCAGGGGGAGATGCTTCACGCTAAAAACCTCTCAGAATGCCAGAACAGAAAAGGCTTATTGTCTCAGTTGCATTCATCAGTGTAAAAGAAAACAGCCCCAAAAAACTCAGCATTGGAACATACAGAATTTGTTGTTCTTTGTTTTTTACATTGCATGTAAATACTAAACACATAACCCCTGCTACTGATTGCAAGCAAGAAGCTTCTTTGTTACTTGTGCTTGATGATGAGATAGGCCAGACTAGAAGTTCTTACGCACAATTTCGACTCAATATATGTTAAATGGTTACCAGCTACTTCCCTGAACGTGATGTGTAGGTGATTCTTCTTTAATTCTTGACAACCAGTGAGGTTTAAAGTTCCTGACGTTACTCACCAACCTTACAGCTGTTAGTACCATTTTGAAGTGCTTTCAGTATGTGACGGGTTACATCAAGAACATTAGATTACCTGAAAAGATGTTCTTGAGATTTTCCACAGCGGCTGCCAGTTGGCTGTGTTGCACTACAGCGTCCTTAACATCCTTGAGGTTTTCTATGGTGTTGATGCTCTGTCTCCAGTCCTTATTGACATCTATCAAAGACTGCTGAATGTCCTTTACATCGTTCAGTGCGTTGTGCAGTTGACTTAAACCTGTCCGTACTCCATCTAACTGCGACTGGATTGCTGCCTTAAATTCAAACAAACAGAGAAAGAACTCATATCAACCATTGTTAAGTTCTGCATTTGCTACATTTCTCAAGAATTAATTTTCATTTCGGTATCTAACATTTTCAGAGGAAAATAAAAACTGAAAAGGTGATACTACAGCTTACTAGAAATGTGTAGCTTATCCAGTGTGTGCACACATATTCTTTTTTTGAAGTTCTGAAGCTGTATCTAGGTCCTTTAAAACTAGATACAACTGGTTCACCTAGAGCTTAGGCAGATGGATCACCATCATAAATCTACATGAAGCCAGGATTATGGGAAGGCAGAATGAGATTTCTTTGTCTTTCCTTCACAAACTCATTTCAAAGCGGGATATCAGAAGAAAGCTGATCCAGATGTTTCACAGAATGTTTGGTGTGTACAGATTCACAAAGCACTTTACTAAAGCAATTACAAATTTTGACTGGCAACTGAAAGTGTTAAAAAAAAAAAAGGAACTAAATTCTGATATGTTCTAAAAAACCCCTCTGGCCTATCATGCCTGAAAGGAAAGACGTTCAAGAGGAATTCAGACAAAACAAAACACAACAAAACCCCAAACTGAGTAATTTTCAACACTGTGAAATATCAACAACCAGACCAACTATCCAACTACTAGATTATTTTGGCATAAAGAGAGGTTATTAATACAGTTATCTCTTGTGACAGGTGACAGTTGAAATAATGACTCTTCAAATAGATTATTAGTCCTGAATATCATTTGACAGTCCAGACACCTTACAGAAAAGGCATTATAGTGCATATCTGAGTGAAAATAAAACGGATCACACCCACAGCATGCTTTTATATACGTATTTCTAAGAAGATGTGACTAAGATGAAATCAGGTGAGTGGAAAATGAAACTGGAATTAACAGACTTCAAAAGACAAGTCAAAGGCAAGACACCAGTGAAAGCTCAGTTGCACATCTCAAGGACTTGAAGTAACCAGTAAAGAGGCACTAATGGTTTTGCTAAGCTCAAAACACATTTCTTGCCATACTTTTACGGCCAAAAAGCTTGGGCAGTTTTGGAACTTTTTGTCTGATACTAGAAGCCAAAGAGGAAATCCTGGTAACCATGAACAACATTTATTGTGTTTTAAATGTACTGGGAAAAGTCCCAGAAGTGATTCTTATTTATGCACTTTCAAATTATGACATGCTGATTTTATCGATAAAAATGTACTTTCCTGTCAGACTCAGTACAATCAAGCAGTGGTAAGGCATTTTTATACAATATCCGTCTACAGAACTGCTGCATTAACACATTTTTCCCCTACAGGAACTGAGGAAATTAGGATACTTGAACATTCAATGTGATACTCAAACACAATCTACTGAAGCTAACTATAAAGTATTTTTAAAAAAAGTCACATTACTATTAAACGTTCAATACTTTTGATTTGACATTTCAATTTCTTCTGAGACAGGTTTTCCAAGTACTATATATTCAAATTTTTGCCTAGTTAACTTCTGCAAAACCTTAATTATGTTAAACAGAAGCAATCACTGATCTTGGCCACCGACACAAATGGCCAAAGAAAATTCTAATAACAAACATTCCCCCATGTTCAGTTTGTCTTCTAATAGTCAGTGAAGGCCAGGAGAGGAGGTGGGGAGGAGGGAGTGAGGCATGGCCTAGCGTTGTAGACTTTGCTTTCGAGAAGGTATATTCATCTTAGATCGGACTGACCATCACTGTATTAAAAAAAAGAAAACAAACCCAAGCCATCCTAGGAACGGGGCTCAAAACCACTTTTATCTCGTTTCAAGTGACGGCCCTCCACACGAAGCCATGGAACCAGGATCCTGGCTGCCTGGTCTCCCCAGAGCCCTGTGGTTCAAATTCATGATTGCACAGCAGCTAAGAATCAAAGGGCAGAGGATTCAAGCACGTTTATACTCAGGAAAACCCACGTCCTAGGAACTCTCCCGGGATATGTATACAGTGTTTCTACAGAGTAAGAGAAAACTAAAACCCAAGTTCTCCCATTGACTGAGTAAGTGCAAACAAAGATGGCTGTCAATGCCCGTAACTTTTCAGGCTCTGGAATACAGTCCAAGCAGCTCTTTGCCAACATTTTTGACTGCAGAGCCCAGAAGTACCAGCCTACACTGCTAGTTGGTGCTTATCTACCCATTGTTTCCAAGTTCTGCACCAATCCTTAAAAATATTGCTTCACTAACTGCCCTCAGTCTCACACATGAAGCAGATGAGTTTGACACATTTCAAAGCAGTTTTTCCTCTAAGAATTTATAAAATGCAGGAAGAAATGCAAGAAGGATGTAAGAAATGGACATTATTAAATATCTGAGAGAGGATATAGAGAGAGGAGTAGGATAACCAACTGGAGGAGATGCTGGGTTTTTGGGCAGAAGATCATTTCATTTCTCTGCTGCTTCACCCCTGCAACATGCAACTATTACCTGGGTTTTCTACTCTTCACCCTTGATTTACTTGATTATCTTGGTTCTTCTGAGGCAAGTTACAAAGACGAAAGCATATCCAGTCAGAAAGAAGCACCAACATGTTCACCCTAAAAGATCTGCCACGTGTTCATTCACAGAGATGAAGCAGCGGAGGTTTTTCAACAGTGGTCCAACCTGCAAAGTCAGCAACTCCACTGGCTGATGATCCTGATGACCCTGGCTCTCCATCTTCCACACCATACACATACACAGTTTAAATACAGAGCAAGAGTATTTCCTGCATCCTCTAGGTGCTCCCATCCATTATCAGAATTCTTATGGGGAAAAACTGCTTTGCTATCCACTGCATCGCTAACCATCACCTGTTTCAGGAAGGCATCCTGACTGGATTAAGGGGTATTGTATTTCTTTTGGGAACAGGTATTTCTGACTGTCTATAGATGACTGAAGTTAAAGTAACTTAAGGAAAGTGACAAGGAAATAGGCTATAAAGTGGATTTATGGAATTATCAAAACTTATACAGTTATGTTTAGTCATCACTAAAACAGGCAGTAGGCAAATGACTCTCCTCATATATTATAAATAGATCACAGTAACTGAACAGCTGATCCATTATTAATAGACTCTACTATATGCCTCCTGCCTTAAATCTGGAAAACCCAGTCCAAGCCATCAGGAAAATTTCTGTTTCCGTGTTACAGACAAAAGTTAACATGTCACTTGCTAACAGATTTTTTCACTGTGAAAGAAGACAGGCTCTCTTCATGCAGACTCCCACCATGAAGGAGCCATCAAACAGTTGTCAGAAACTAACCTATTCTGAAATATAAGATTAGATACAGTGCATACCAGCCATTTTGACCTGGTAAACCCAAAAATATTTCCCAAAACACTTTTCCAAGGCTCTACTCCAACTACTTAATATAGCGGTCTAAAATGACTGTTGGCAAGTGCGTACCAGTGAGGGAAGAAAACAGAGAACTCAGTAATGTATAGACCCTAAACACAGGCTGACCTTACTGCTGTTTCAGGTGAAGTCTGTGTGTGTGCACTCACATGTACACATGCAAAGGAGGGGGAAAATCATGTGAGTACACTTCTGCAAGAGACAAGAATGTTATAGGTTTCAGCTACCTTCCATAAACCCATGCAAAGGTCAGAGACTTTTTTCAGACGAAACTTTATGTTACAATTTTTTGTTACAAGTTCAGCATTCAGTCATTGAGACAAAGGTTTGTTGGCTGACAGGCTACACAGCACGAGGGTAGCCGTCCACTGATAAACTGCAGAAGTTACAGGCCATAAGGACACTTGAAAAGCTCAAATAAAATTTCAGAAAGATGTACAGCATTAGTTTGTGTTACTCTCAGGAAGCAAAATTTCTGGTTTGGACACAGAGCACAACTTAACAGTCCATGGTTTAAAACTATTTGGATGAAAATGTGAATCAAAAAATGGAAGGAAAAAGAAAAAAAAAGAAGGTATATTCATGCTGCACCAAAGACACTCAGGTTTATGAAACTTTGTACCTTGAGTCGAGCTTCAACCGAAGCCTTCTTACGAGCTTCCCTCCTGCGATACTGCTCCACTTTATCCAGCTGATCAGGGCGCTGAAGCATTCCCGCCACTCTCTGAACAGCTGTTGCAACTGCTTCCCTGTCTGTTTCCTCCATTGTCGATTAGGACCTCAAAATGCCTTCATAATTTAACAGTACTGAAAAGAAATATAACATTTTTAGAAAATACTTTTTCATTTGATGGCTATGTGTCATTTCAAAGTTAACAACTGGAGAACTAACTTTGGCAATAAAACCAGTGCAATTTGACAGAAGCCTCCTTAGACCACATTACAAACAGCAGTAATCGGAATTCCACAAGGATCACATTTAAAGTCACTTAACTCTGTTTCTTAGTCTACCTGAAATGTTCTCTGGTTACCGTTTTGTGTTTACCTTGCTCTCTGTAAGTTCGTATCGAAAAAGAAAAGGCAACAAAGAACAGCACATCTTTATTTAAAAACCAGGTTCTATCTAATCCTAGAGTAAGTTTGCCTATTTAAAGGGGAATGTCACAAGCATAAAGGAACCTTGTAGCATGTCCAAGCAAAAATCCTAACTCTTCCTGAACTCGAATCTGGTGGAGCTGAGAGAGCCATAACCCCCCTGCAGCAATGGGTTAAATCTGCTACCAAAAGTGGAGAGAAACATGGCTGTGGAAGCTCTACGCCCAGGGATTTAACTATAAAGCACTTCCACTTTGGATGACTTTTTTATTTCCTACTCTTGTTTTCAGTTCCTCTCACAGTATCAGTCCATCAGCGGTGTAGGGATGGGAGGAAAAATTAATCAAGGATTTCACCTAAGTCTCCAGCAGAATTTCTAGTGAAGTCAAGACATGCATGCAAACTAGCATGCAGAAAAGGTAAGCAAACCAGACCTGTTCCCTCAAGCTTCACAAGCTACTAACAGAAAGCAGGGAGGATTCCCAGTCACCAAAGATGCAAGAACACGGTGTTCACAGAACTCCAAGGAACACATATGGAGTTCCTCATTTCTTCCAAAACCTTTCCCACATTTATGTCTTCAGTGCTGTAATCAGACAGAACGTTTTAGGTTCTGCTGCCACAACTACAGATTGTGCTCTCTCAGATCCATATCATTCCTTGAAAGCAGGCATCTACTTTCAAAGCAGCCTGCCTTCATATATCCAGCACATCACTTAACCTCAGCAGAATAGTGCTCTGATGAAGAAATGCACCAAGCGCACAGAACTGGAAGAGAAAACACGTGGATTGAAAGACAGTTTGATAGTTGAAGGAAAGAGGAAGCACCTCCCGCCTCGAACCAAAAGAACAAAAAACAAGTGAAGCAATGGAAATTGCCCACCACCTCCCATCGGCAAACTAATGCTCCAGCCAGTCTGAACAACGGCCACCTTGGAAGCCAACAACCCCTCCCGCCCTTTCTTCTTCCTCTACTCCATCTTTTATTGCTGAGCATAACATTATATGGTAAATAACTTCCCTTTGGCCCGTTTGGGTCAGCTGTCCCAGCTGTGTTCTCTCTCAATCTCTTGCTCATGCCCAGCCTACTCAAGTGGAGTGGAGGGCAGAGCAGGAAGGAGAGAAAGCCTTGACCCTGTGCCAGCACCTTTCAGCAACGGCCCAGACACTGGTGAGCCTTCAGCACTGTTTTAGCCACAAATCCAAAACACAGCCCTGTACAGGCTCCTGTGAAGAAAGTTAACTCCATCCCGGACAGACTCAGTACATCACTAGTAGAATTAGTCATTTTAGAACTTACCAGGGTTAAAAGAGTCCAGGCAAGCCCAAGAGCTAGTCTGTAAGACCCTAAGTCTATGTCTCAAGTTCCTTCATCCAATATTTCAAGACCCGTATCTCTAGTATATTCAAAAATTACATGCAGAAGCATGCAAATAGTCCAAAATTATTTCTACAGTGTAAACTCATGTCCTACTTTACCTCTTCAGCTGTGCGGCCACACTCATCCCTTCTCTACTAATGCCCTGTTTAGCTCAAATGATGTTTGATTTTCTACTTCGCATCTCAAGGTGCGGGACCTATTCCTACCACTCACACTTTTGAATGAATACTCCAGTTTTGTTCAGCCCAATCAGGGCTGTATCTACAATTAAAAAAAAAAAAAAAGCCAACTGTTATTTTTAAATATGAATTTACTACAGAAACGGTATCTGCAGTAGAGAGATTCATGCTGAATTATTGACTTTATTAAAAACTCTGGATACATTCAACAGAGTTAGGATAGCTTTAACCCACACAGCCACTACCCAGGCACACTAGGCAGACCTCAAGAACAAACTCAGCAGTCAGCACGCTGTAATCTCCTGACCGGTTACATACCAACTGGCTGAGGTAGGCAGGCTGTTTCACAACTACTAAACCGTTCCAAAGGAAAAGCAAACTTTACACAGGGGCTATGAGCCAAACCCACAAACATCTTCAGAACAAAGTACTGGAAGAAGTGAACAACAGCAAGTCCCGAGCAGCCTTGGAAAGGCTTCAGCTACAAGCACACCCTCATCCTCCGGACTCCAGCTCCGAGAAGCGAGCCAGCGGGGGGAGACGCGCTCACAGGGGGAGGCCCCCGGCCCCTCCAGAAACGAGCTGCTGGGCTAGAGGCACGCAGCGACGGGGCTCAACCCCGCAAAACGAAGGCTCGGAGGAAGCTGCGGCAGCCCCAGCTCCTCCCGGCCGCGCTCCCTGACGGAGGCGGCTCGACTCGAATTATTTGCATCGACGCAGGTGCCCGTCCCTACCGGGCAAAGGCCGGAGACCCGGCCCCGGGCAAGCAGGCGAGCCTGCAGCCTCGGCAGAGGCC